AAGTAATAATGACCCTCCAATACAATCAGGAAAAAATAAAAGAGGATTTTAAAAGAACTCTCCTGATGTCCTTTCTGACTCAAGAATGCGGCTCCAGAAAGCAAACATACTGATTTATATACTGTTTAGGCACGTTTTCTATAGCAATATGCTAATTCATACTAGCAGCAGGATGTTTATTTATACTATCAACATCTTACAACATTACACAAATACTAAATACACAATACTATAGTGATTTATGGTCATTTTAGAATTGATCTGATTTGTGGTGATTCTACAGTTACTATGGTAACACAACTGTTGTTGTGATTCTACAGTTGCCATGGTAATACAACAACTATACTAGTTGATCTGTTGTGGTGATTCTACAGTTGCCATGGTAACACATAGGCTATAGTTATTGATCTGTTGTGGTGATTCTACAGTTGCTATGGTAACACAACAACTATAGTAATTAATCTGTTGTGTTTATTTGACAGTTGCCATGGTAACACAAAAACTATAGTAATTGATCTGTTGTGTGATTCTACAGTTGCTATGGTAACACAACAACTATAGTAATTAATCTGTTACGTTTATTCTACAGTTGCCATGGTAACACAAAAACTATACTAATTGATCTGTTGTGGTGATTCTGCAGTTGCTATGGTAACACAACACCTATATTAATATAAACAAACGACCCAATCCTGTAGATTTCTACACCTATAGGGTATATTAAACTACAATACACCACAGTTTACTGTAGTAAAAGCTAAAGTACATTAAGGTATTTCTTACACTGTATCTATAGTTAATACTACAGTAATCTCTAAGTATTAAGTATTTAGCTGTATAGTACATAAGACATATACAATGTACACTATAGTACACTTCAGTATGGTTCAAAAACATTTTAATATTTACTGTAAATTAGTATAGTAATNTTAACACACACACACACACACACACACACACACACACACACACACACACACACACGCACTCACACACGCCCACACGCACACACACACCACCACCTGCAGTATTACCTGTTTTACTGCACACCTGCACACGTTCTCCTTCCCTTAAAACAAACTGAAGTCAGCATGAGGGTGAGAGGAAAACAAAGAACTCAGCCTTCTTATTTATGTGCAATGTGAAAATAAAATCATGACAATTAGTATAAAAGATAAACTAATATATATATATATTTTTTTTCAACATATTTTAATTACACATTTACACACATTCAAATATATTTAAAATAACTAATTTATTTTGTTTTTACCATGACAGTGCATTTTTTTTGTTGCAAGATTTCGGTATTCAGCTTAAAGTGCAATTTAAAGGTGTAACGAGGTTATTTACATTAAAGGCAAGTTATTAGACAGCGGTGTCTGTTCTGTAGACAATCCTTGGCAATATTAAAAAAAAAAAAACAATTTCACAGAAGCATTAATAATTTTGCCTTAACTATGCACAGTTCCAATCAAAAAGTAAAAAAATAAATTTACAGAAAATTATTATGTTTATCATTTATTAAATGTAAAAAAAGTTAGGTTGTTAAATATTCATACAATTTTAAATAGCTGATTTCGTATGTAATTTCAAATGAAACGATTAGTCATTATTGCTTTTATTACTATTACATTAATATTAATACAATTAATAATAATAATAATAATAATAATAATAATAATAATAATGATGATGATGATGATGATGATGATGATAATAATAATAATAATAATAATAATAATTAACATTAGAGTGATCTTTGAAGGATCATGTGACTGAAGACTGAAGTAATGAAGCTGAAAATTCATCATTAAATCACTGAAATAAATTATTAAATGAAATTATAAACTACTTTTGAACAGTTATTTTATAGTGCAATAACATTTAACAGTTTTACAATGTGTACTGTATTTATGATGAAATAACTGCAGCCTTGGTGAGCCGGAGAAGCTTATTTTAAAACATTTAAAAATCACACTGACCCCAAACTATTTTAAGAAAACAAATAATAAAAAATATGAATATATTAATAATGGAAAACATTGACCTGAGCAGTTTTTACATTTTATTTTTAAATATTCTAGCCAAGCAAGAAATATAATAGGGAATACTGTTTAAAATTTATTTTTTACTTTTAAAATTTAAACTTAAAAATTTACCTAACTTACTCTGTTAGGCATCACTTGGGATATAAACAAAAAAAACATAAACACTGTTAAAGCATTTTTAAATATATAAATACAGTCCGTTCTGTGATAAAAATAACACCTACGTCATCGCGTCTGACCTATGAGAGACGACTACGGTTGCTGTGACTCCGCCCCCTGCCTAACTCCATGTTCAGCGGTCGGGTTCCTGTCCAGAGACTCTTCTGTTCCGCAGTCATGGGCTCAAAGGTACAGTTAAATGCTGAGATATGCTGTACAGTGAGCTGTTTTCTGCTGTTTATCAGTGTGTGTACCGCTGCCGCTGCTGCTGCTGAGCGCGGAGTGTTTATCTGAAGAGCTGAAGAGCAGCTCAGTGTTATAATGACAACTTCCGCGTCACATGCGAAGAGCAGAGGATGATGGTTATGTGTGTGTGTGTG